TATGCTTTCTGCTAAATTATTTTATATATAAATACAAGGAGACTATGAAAAGAGAACAAAGTGAAATGATGACTGGGAATTGGGGCCAAAGAAACAATACAGTGGTGAATTAGTTTTGGGTTTTCTTTTTGCCTCCTATACCAGAGTAGATACTATAGAAGCTGGCAATTCAAACACCAGTGGCAAAAAGATAGCAAAAAAAAAACAAACAAAAATCTTCAAGAAAAGCCTTGGACAAAGGACAAGGGGCATCCTAGGAAAACAGAAAACTTTTAGACAGTTACTACACCACTCCAGGCAAATACAGGAGAAAAAAACAGTAGCCCCTACCCTCTACTCCCATCAGCAAAGGCCAATTAGAGAGCCTAGACTTATACTATTGACAGCTATAATTACACACCCAATCCCCCCCACACACACACTTCCTCCTCAGGTTGATATTAGAGGAAACCAAAAGGGAAGCCGGGAATTTCACTCTGCATGCAGAATTTTTCCCACATCTGGCAGTAACTAGACAATAAAAAGGTACTCCATCCCTTCCTTTGTGGGAAGAGTCAGAGAGAAACCTACTGAAGAGGCAAGCATTTCACCTATACCTAGCGGCAATGAAACCAGTCCCTCATAAAAATCAACAAAAACCACAAAAGAGCCTTGGTACACCACCCTCATGCCATGGTAATGAGGAGTCCCTTCCACACCCAACTAGTTGGCATCAGAGAAGACCTACTGGAGTTGGTATTTATCACAAGTCACCACTAACAAGGCCCCTTCCCACATGAATGGAATACAAGTGGAGAACAGTAACAATGTATCCCTCCCCCTGACCATGATGTTATCAGCAAAACCCTAGGGAGGAGCTTGAACTCTTACCCATACCCAGCAAGAACCCATTAGCAGGAGGAACAAGGAAAGCTCCCTCTGTCCCATCATCAGTTGTCAACAGAAGCTGAATTGGAGAACCAGACTTCATACCACCAACAGTAACAAAGCTGAGACATGATTCGTCATCTACCAGAAACAATGTCAGGGAAGGGATTTAAAAAGGAACCAGAGTCTAATAAAACCCCAAATATCCAGCTTTTATACAAAGAAAAAAATTAATTAATAATATGTAAACCAATACAATCTAAACCAGAATAAAAGAATAAGCAAATGACAACACCAAGACAAGGCAGATATAGCAATTATCAGACAAGGACTTCAAAGTAGTCATCAAAAATATGATTCCATTAATAAGAAGAAACACTTGAAACAAATTTAAAAAATAAAAAATTTCTGCAAAGATACATAAGCTAGGATGAAGAAACAAATCGAATGTTGACAATAAATATAATAAGGCATGGTGGAGAGGACGTGAATCAGCAAAACAGTAGGGAAAACAGAGGAAAGAATCAATGAGCTAGAAGACAGAACACAGAAATTAACCAATCTAAAAAACAGAAAAGAATGACAGGGGAAAAAAGACTAGCCCTCAAGAATTTGTGGAACTATAATTAAGTTCTAACATTTGTGCCATCAGAGTCTGAGAAATAGGATGCAGCTAAAAAAAAAAAAAATCTGAAAAAAAGCAATCGCTATATATTTCTTTGGCAAAAAAAAAAAAAAATGAGGATTCAGTATAAACTTCAAACAGGATATAACCAAAGAAATCTATGCCTAGAACTCATCACAGTCAAACTTCTAAAAAACTAAAGAAAATACAAAAAAAACCCATATTGAAAGTTGCCAGAGGGCCGGCGCCTCGGTTCACTAGGCTAATCCTCCGCCTTGCGGCGCTGGCACACGGGGTTCTAGTCCCGCTCGGGGCGCCAGATTCTGTCCCGGTTGCTCCTCTTCCAGGCCAGCTCTCTTCTGTGGCCAGGGAGTGCAGTGGAGGATGGCCCAAGTGCTTGGGCCCTGCACCCCATGGGAGACCAGGAGAAGCACCTGGCTCCTGCCATCGGATCAGGGCGGTGCGCCGGCCGCGGCAGCCATTGGAGGGTGAACCAACAACAAAGGAAGACCTTTCTCTCTGTCTCTCTCTCTCTCACTGTCCACTCTCTGCCTGTCAAAAAAAAAAAAAAAAAAAGAAAGTTGCCAGAGACAAGTAAGTCTATCTATAGGGGAAATACATTTTAATTATAGGATTTGTTTCATCAAAAATCATAGAGGTCAGTCAGAAGTAATACAACATTTTTAATGCTGAGGGACTGTCAAAACAAAATTCAATATCCAGCTAAAATACGCTTCAGAAAAAAAAGCATAACCTTCTTAGATGAAAATATGTCACCATCAGACTTACCCTAAGAAAACAGCTGAAGGAATTTGTCTAAAAAGAAAATTATAATAGAAGTAAAAACTACAAAATAATGAAGAAATCAAAGATGTAAATAAATGGAGAGATACTCCATATTCATGGGCTGGAAAAAACTGATTTACAGGTTTACCATAATTTATTTCAAAATTCCAGCAAGATTTTTTTTTTTTTTGCAGATAACAACTATTATAAAATGTATATGGAAAGGCAAAGGAACTAAAATAACCAAAACAATTCTGGGAAAAAAAAGAATCAACAGCAATCACTCTACCTGATCTGAAACTAACTATATAGCTATCATAACAACTGTTTTACCATTAGAGAAACAGAAATATAAAAAAGTGAAAGAGAATAAGAGCCCTGGAGTGGCCCACACAAGTATGACCAACTGACTTTTGATAAAGATGCAACAGAAATTCATTGCAGGGAAGATTGTTTTCAACAAATGGTGCTGAAATTATTGGATATCCACAGACAGACAAAAAAATGCACCTGGACCCACATGTCACATTTTACATTTAACAAAAAACTTACCAGAAATTAAATGTATACTTTAAAACTAGAAATTATTTCAAATAATCAGAAGAAAAAAATCTTCAGGACCTAGGACCTGATGAAGTTATTAAACATGATATCAACAATACAATCCATGAAAGAAAAGAATATCACGTGCCTTCTTCAAATTTTAAAATTTATGTTCTATGGAAATCTTTTTAAGACCAGGTACGGACTAGAAGAAAATCTTTACAAACACCATATCTGACAAAAAAAAAAAAAGCTACAAATTTTAACACTGAAAAGGCAAGCCACTCAAGCAGAAAATGGCTAAAAGAAATGAAGAATCATATTACCAAAGCAAACAGAGAGCAAATAAACATACGCAAATATGTAACACATCATTAGCTATGATGGTCTTAGAAGAAAAAGCATTGGGGAGGTAATTATAAGGGTGCTGCCTTCATAAATGGGATTAGCACCATCATAAGACAGATTCCAAACGGCTTTCGAGCCCTCTTCTTCCATATCAAAAGTTCACAACCTAGAAGAGAATATTTTTACCTGAATCCATCCATGTTGGCACATGAATCTTGGTCTTTCAGCCACTAGAACTCTGAGAAATAAATTTCTGTGATTTATAAGCCACCACAGTATATAATAGTTTGTTATAGCAGCTTGAACTAAGCCTAGTCATTAAGAAAATGTAAACAAAAACCAAGACACACTCCTGTCAAAATGGCTAAAATAAAAAGTAATACCAAGTGTTTATGAGAATGTTAAGTGGATCTTTCATACACTGCTGATGTAAAACGATACAGCCACACTGAGAGAGAAAAAGAGAAACTGAAAAAAAAAAAAAAAAGAGATCTTCCATCGGCTAGTTCACTGGGCCATTGAAGCCAGATGCGAACTCCATCCAGGATTTCCAAGTAGATTCCAAAGTATTTGTGCCATCTTCCACTTCCTTTTCTGGCACATTAGTAGGAAGCTGGATCAGAAGTGGAGTAGCCATCATTCAAACCAGTGCTCTAATATGGGATGCCCACATTGCAAGTGGCAACTTGACGACCTGCACTAAAGCACCGGCCCTAGCTGTTCGCTGTCTTTTTTTTTAAATTATCACTTACCACTTGACTCAGCAATCAAACACCCAGGCACTTATGCCAGAGAAATGAAAACTTAAATGTATATAAAAACCTGTATAAACTGTTCATAATTATTTTATTTATAAGAGCTCAAAACTGGAAATAATCAAAACGTCTCTCAATAAGTGAGTGATTATACAAACCATGCTAAATACATACTATGAAATGTTTGTTATCAAAAAATAACAAGCTATTGATATATGAAACAATTTGAACAAGTCAACATTATGTTGAGCAAAAGAGGCACTCTCTAAATCATTTCTTATATAATTTCATTAATATGACAAAACTAGAGATGGAGAACAGTTAGTGATTGTGACTAGAGTGAGCAAAATGATGGGTGAGGTATAACTATAAAAAGGACAGCAAGAGGGAGAGCTCTATGGTAATAAAACAGTTATATATATTGACTGCAATAGTGGTCACTTGAATCTATACATATGATAAAATGTATAAGTACAAACATACTACATCTATGTCAAATTCCTGAGTTTGGTACTGTATTTTAATTTTGCAAGATGTAACCATTGGGAGAGACTGGTATATAGCACCTCTCTATACTGTCTTTGTAAATCCATATGGCAATCTACAATTATTTCAAAACTAAAAATAATAAACTACTGGATAATATGCAACATACTTTTAAATCGTTCTTTGAGAAGAAAACATCTACTAACGTCACATAACCTGAAAAAGAATAAGCCACTTTGCTCCATAATATCTATCAGGACACATTTTGAAAAACTCGGCCAATGTTCATGAAAATTATGCCATTATCATTCGTATGAAACAAAAATAGACTCAGTTGCTCCACATTAAAAAGTTGAAATCAGTATTTAAATTGTACCTACATTTAACTGCATTTTTGTCTTTCTTTAAAGAGTAAATTAATTCCATAATTATGGTTGAATCCAAATACATATAAACTTAATTCTAAGAAGTAAATCTCTCCAAGCTGCTTTACACTAAAATTTTATTTTAGGTAAATAAAACATTTGCAATAGCAATAAAACAGCAATAAAATGAACTAGAAGCCACTTAAAATGAATAAAACATAATGCTGAAAATAAAACAAGTTCTATATGTTTATTTCACACACTCAATGACAACAAAAGAATATATACATGAATCTCTGTACTATCCAGTATTTTAATAATCCACATTATGAACTGTTCCATAAAAGTGCTCTTATGACCTATTACTACCTAAAATAATACATGGTATTTCAAGAACGTGTTCTTTGACTTCTAACCTCTGCTCTTCTTTAGAATAACCTGTGAGGGGGGAAAAAATGAGGATTAATAATATACCTATGCAAAATAAAACATAATTCCTCAATGAAAAGTTAGGTAGTCCTATGTGCATAGTATACAAGACTCTAAAATTATAAAACCCAATTTAGAGGCTCTTTAAGGAATCTGCCTTATAAATGGTCTTAGATTTCTGTTTCTCTCAATGAATGTGAAGCATGCCTAAAATTCTCAAAACCTGGTTTATTGTCATCTCCAGATATTAACTTCTTTTAATTGTAAACCAAAAAGAATCCAGATCACTCATTTCAAACCTGAGGGGTTTTTAGACAATTTACCAAGAGATGAGTATTCTAAGGCTCAAAAAGCTATTATAAATCAGGCATTTCATACAAATCCACTATAATTCTAAAACTCTTGCATTGGGCTGGAATTTTATCAATTATAGACCAACATTGCTTATCTTATACAGCTTTGTTAAGCAGACAATTTTCAAAATATACAGCCTGTGGCAGAAATATGGTAAAAAGGAGATGTTCAGTTATAAGAAGGCTAAGAACAAAAGGCCAGAATATCTCCAACATTTTTTGATGAATTTATTTTAGGTAAATACAACCTTTGGTTTATTAACAAGAAAAAAACACAAACCCTAAGTTTAAAACAATGACATACACTCTTCACACTCTTAATCCATGCATTATCTACAGAGCAATATTTATTTTGAATTTACTTGTCCAGAAACTTGATGCAATGTTCTGCAGCACAAGAGAAGTTAAAGTCCCTGAAGGAATGCCAGAACATGCATATTTGAGGCTTCCACAGAAGCCATCAAACGGGTCTATAATCTAGGCCAATATTTCTCAGTTATACAAGATGTTAATATGGGTACTGCAAAAGAAAGTTATTATCTACTCAACTGAGTTGCAAAATGCTGACTATGTTTCCAAAAAATTTACAAAATTCTAAGTTAAACAGAGTTTCTTATAACCTTTTATAACTTTACATAATTCTAGTTACATAATATGGTAGCATCGTGAGAAAGCAGATAAAAGGTACACGAGAACTCAATTATTTTTTGCACTCTTATGGGTCTATAATTATTCCAAACCAAAAAAATCTCAAGACAAGAAAGTCTACAAAGAGACAGACTGTCAAAAATAAGTCTACCCCATTATTCCCCTGTCAACTGTAATGGCCAGTTTCTTGCATTTTTTTTTTTTACACAAATAAGTTCTACATATAAACAGTAACAGTGTGACTAATCAGGAGATATCGTATGTTATTTATCTACACCTATGTGCACACAAAAGCTGTTGAAGTAAGATATCTACTACATCTTTTGAAAATAATATGCTCAGGCACATACTTGAAAAACTCTCCCCTAAGCACTATATTCTCACAATAAACAGAAATCCCAATAAATGCAATCTTCTCTGTTTATATGAGATTTCATTTATGTCACTCAAATCTCAGAGTGAGAAAATTAAGTAACTAGGTAATTAGAATAATTATAAATGATCAAGAAGTTTTGACAAAATTTAAAGTGATAAACCATCTCAGCCTACAGATTAGTAGTCAAATCTGCATTTTCTTCCCTAAATGATTATATGGAAGTGGCCATTAATCTCACCATTAGAAATCCAGTACATGCACTTAGGGTAAAAAAAAAAATTAACTCCATAATTAAAATCCATTGTCCTGAAAAGCCCATTCCTATCAACAAAGCTGATTAAACTATACAAATCAGGCAGAAGTGATGAATTAGGTGGTTGTTTTTGAAGTTAATTCTTGATCAAGAAAAGAAATTCATATTTTACCTTTGCAGCAGCCAGTACATGATCCTTGTTAATGACTCCACACTTATTCTCACAAGCATTTGTCCTGGACTCTTCTGCTAACCGATGAACAAACAGTAAACAGTTCAGATGAACCTTTAAAAGAAAAAAATCAGAATGGATTTTTAAACTCAAACACTGATGCTTTGAAATGATGCCTTTTAAAAACTAAAGATCCAAAAATTTATTATAAATTTTCTATTTTTTAAAGACATTTTTTATTTATTTTGAAAGTCAGTTACAGAGAGAGAAAGGCAAAGACAGAGAGACTGTCCATTCACTGGTACACTGCCCAGGTGGCCACAAAAAGCCAGCACTGGGCCAGGCTAAAGCCAGGAGTTTCATCCAGGTCTCCCATGTGCATGGCAGGGGCTCAAACACTAGTGCCATCTTCTGCTGCTTTTCCCAGGCCATTAGCAGGGAGCTGGATTGGAAGTGGAGCAGCTGGGACATAAACTGGCACCCATATAGGATGCCAGTGTCACACGCAGCACTTTTATCCCACTATGCCAGCCTCTGCAACTTTTCTATTTAAAGTTACATAGGATTCAGTTTAATATATGCCAATCTTAGATTTCACAGAGAATGAGTCACTGCAATACATAAAATACGGCTATGTAAAACAGACCAAAGATCATAGAGAGTAACACTAGGACTCTATTAAGTAACCAGTGATACTGATTTTAATGTCAAATATTTAAATTTATAATTTAAATTTTAAATCAAAACACATCAATAACTATATTTTACACTCTTATCCTAAGACTAAGTTTTTTTTTTTTTTTTTTTTTGACAGGCAGAATTAGACAGTGAGAGAGAGACAGGCAGAGAGAAAAATCTTCCTTCTGTTGGTTCACCCCCCAAATGGCTGCTACGGCCAGCGCGCTGCACCAATCCGAAGCCAGGAGCCAAGTGCTTCCTCCTGGTCTCCCATGCAGGTACAGGGGCCCAAGCACTTGGGCCATCCACCACTGCCTTCCCGGGCCACAGCAGGGAGCTGGACTGGAAGAGGAGCAACTGGGACTAGAACCTGGCGCCATATGGGATGCTGGTGCCACAGGCGGAGGATTAACCAAGTGAGCCACAGCGCAGGCCCAAGACTAAGATTTTTTAACCACTAGTTTAAAGTATTCAAAAATATCAATTACAATTTTTTAAATTTACTGAATTGAAAAGCATATGTACAAAGGTCAAGTTACTTGTCATGAAAAATCATAAAATAATCATATATATTTTTAATCCTTTTTAAGCCTACAAAGAGTAGTAGTTTTTAAGTAAGATGTTATTAGCATTGTGGAGAGTTGGGTAAAGGATACATGCGAACTCCACAACTTCTGTACGTGCTTGAGAATTTTTATTTCAAGATAAAAATACAAAATAGGAGTAGGTATTTGGCCCAGCAGTTTACATGCCTATATCCCATACTCATAGAGAACCTGTGTTTGAGTCCCAGCGCCCCCAATTCCAGTTTCTTGCATTCAGAAGCAGCGGGTTTATGCTTGAGTGGTTGCTTTCTGCATGGTGCATCTTGGTCTCCTTATCAAAAGGCAATTGCCTTTAAAGGTATGGACTGATTTCTAGGATTTCAATCCTGTTCAAATTCAGATGGCCAACAGACACTTGAAAAAATTACAAGCATCACTAGCCATCAGGGAAATAAAAATCAAAACCACATCAAGGGGGCCAGCGCTGTGGCATAGCCGGTAAAGTTTCCACCTGCAGTGCCAGCATATGGGTGCCGGTTCAAGTCCTGGCTGCTCCCCTTCTGATCCAGCTCTCTGCTTTGGCCTGGGAAAGCAGAAGTTGGCCCTGGTCCTTGGGCCCCTGCACCCACATGGGAGACCCAGAGCTCCTTGCTCTTGGCTTTGGATCGGTGCAGCTCCGGCCTTTGTGGCCATCTGGAGAGTGAACCAGCGGATGGAAGACCACTTGCTCTCTCTCTCTTTCTCTGCCTCTCTGTAACTCTACCTTTGAAATAAATAAATAAACCTTAAAAAAAAAAAATGATGCTCACCTCACCCCAGTTAGAATGGCTCTCATACAGAAATCAACAAACAACACTGGTGAGGATGTGGGGGAGGAAGGAACCCTAATCCACTGTTGGTGGGAATGTAAACTGGTACAGCCAAAATTCCTTAATATGGCATAATTTTATCAGTCTTTAAAAAATAGCTTCCAGATGCTATAATGAATCATTCCAAATTCAGTAACATTAAACCTCAACTGACTAGGCCTTTCCTATTGCACCTCTTAATCTTTCTAAGCTTCTGGTTCTATACCTCAGTCTTCTGAAGTTCTTTAAGAATTCAAATGCAACTTTACCCCTAGGCATCCTACTGATTTGTAGAGTTCCCTGAAACACCTACAGCTTCCCCAGGATGTAAGGTTATACATAATAGCACCCTAAACTTCCTATCACATCATATGTTGATTTCTCACTTAACATACTCTCAGGACAAGAACTCTATATATCCTTTTCAACAGTTTCACACCCTTTTACACACATAGGTAGCCAATAATTATTAAAGAACAAAAGACTCTTCCATATCTCCCCATATAATGATAAAAAAAATTTGTTAAGTCAATCCTAGTAACCCACACTGTCTAAAGACTTCATTCATGCTGCAAACCTACATGGACTGTCCTTTCCTCTTCTTCTACATGGGTATGAGCCAGGGATACTGAGGCAAATTAGTATTTTTAAATGTAACAGTAATTGTTTTAAGTGACCTATACCTATGATATAAAACATTTAAGTGATGTCACTCAAATGCTCTGAGGCTTAAATTAAAATGGTCAGAAAAAAAAAACTAGTTTCAAGCCTTTAACTAGGCATTCAAACTTGAAACAAGTAAGCTGTTCCATCAAGAATTTACTTTAAAAAAAAAATCAGTCTACAGGAAGGGCAAATCCAAAGATAATTTACAAAGAAATAGCTACTTCACAGTCTCAGTTAAACAAAAGACTGGGCCAATCTGACCTCCCTTTGGCACAGCACTTCCAAATTTTACATAAAACATAAGCAACTAGGTATTTGCCAAAAAAAAAAAAATGCTCTGTGATAAATCCAAAAGCTAACTGTGAGACACAAGAAAACTGAACAATTTACTTAAGCTTAATAAATGTTAAATCTTTCTCCACTATTGGCCCTGGAGATATATAAATAGTACTTCAAAAAGTCTGTTGAAAAATGGAATTAAGATAACAATGCAAAAAAAATTTAAAGAGCATGCATTTGGCACAGGGGTCAAGACATTGATGAAATGTCCACATCCCAATCAGAGTGCTGGGGTTCAATTCCTGGCCCAGTTTTTAATTCTAGGTTCTTCTTAAGGTATACCCTAGGAGCCCACTATAATGGTTCAAGTACTTAGGTTCCTGCCACCCACATGGAAGACTTGGATTGAGTTCCTAGCTCCTGGCTTTGGTCTGGCCCAACCTGGTTGCTGCAGGTACCTGGGGAGTAAACCAGCAGTTGGAAGATCTCTGTCTCTGTCTCTTTCCCTTTCAAATAAAATGAAAATAAAATTTTTTATCAAAAAGTTTGAAACCCATAGTTTTTTCTTTATAATATGTATTTTTCCTTAATTTTGAAGATCCCCTCATATGCATCCATTTCATTTCAAATTTTTTGTGGCAAAATGAACTTACATTTTAATCCCATTTCCATATATTTTTTGAAGTGACCATGTACAATGAAATAGCTATAAAACAAAATTAACAAAAAGCCAGTACAGAACTATAAAACCAAGAAAATATGAATAAGGAACTAGAAATATTATTAATCCACATATGGTTATCATGCATAACAACTACTGAATGTTCAAGATATTACACTCAATCCCAATTCAAGTTTGCAGGCCAATGGAGGAATGAAATCCATAAAGAAAGTAAAGACAAATGCATGACCACAATGACAGAGAGAAAGACTTAACCTTTCTAAGCAGATGAAGGAAGGCTTCACTGAAGATACAGCTTCTGAGTTTGATTTAGAAAGAATTGGAGTTTGCCAAGTGGAGCAGAGTAATGACAGGCAGAGGAAATGCCTTGTACAAAAAACAGCTAAAAATAATAGGATCCAAAAAAAAAAAAATAGATATGGTTCCTTCCCCTCAAGAAGCTAAGAAGCTGCATACTACACTGGGAGACATCAAAACAAGACTTGCAAAGAACAGTATAAGAACAGCTAAATAGTATGGTATATATTCTATTTTTTTTTTTTTTTGAAGATTTAATTATTTATTCGAAAGGCAGAGTTATAGAGGAGAGAGAGACACAGAAAGAGAGCTATTCCATCCACTGATTCACTCCTCAAATGACCATAATGGCCAAGCTGAAGCCAGGGAAGACGGGAACACCATCCAGGTCTCCCACATGAGTGACAGGGCCCAAGCACATGAGCCAAGGACATCTGCTGCTTTTTCCAGTGCATTAGCAGGTAGCTGGATTGGAAGTGGAGCAGCTGGGACTCAAACTTACACCCCTATGGGATGCCAGCATCATAGGTGGCAGCTTAACCAGCTTCATCACATGGGCCCAGGATGTACGTACTTATTGTTGGTCAAGTTCAGAAAGGAGAAGAAATCAAAGTAGGCTGTTTTAACCATAAAAAACATTGTGAATGGTGTGGGGCACCTGCAAAGCAAGATTATGAAAGCAAGTAGAAAATCATAAGCATAGAAAATAAAGTGATGCATGGCATATTCAAGACAGTAAAGAAGCACTGTTTTACGAAAGTCAAAAACAAACATACCACCTGAGAACAGCTGGTGGCCAAAAGAACTTCCTTTCCCCCAACCCATAGACCCAACCGCCTGGAATTTCAACTCCTTTCTTTGCCATACCTGGGTATCACTCCATTATGGAGTTCACCTGTCCACAGGTCACCTTAGGGGCAGAAATGGGTGGATATGGGACAAGTTAACTACTTGGGAAAGTCCTACCCAACCATTTGTACATACTGGCAGTCTTGTGGCCATCCTTGATCAAGTAGATTTCCTTTTTCTTTATTTACAAACTCCAGTGACAACTCCAGAGTAAACTAACCAAAAATGTTTTGCAAATGAATTTTACTTTAATCCAGCTAATCTGTACTACCTCTATCACTGTCAGCATGTGGTACAAGACAGCATGTATTACCTTTTCTTATAGAAGAAAGGATCAAAAAGGCAGGCAGGCGATATCAGTAGTCCCCTTCTACGGGAGGGAGTGGATGTTGGGTTTTGGCTTCTTAGATTGAATTAGAGAAAAGGAGAGACAGTTATATACTTATCTAGTAAAAAGAGAAATCTTGCAAGGAGGCAACAAACGGGAAAGCAGCAGAGATCTGTGAGAAGCTATAGAGAAAATAGTTGGTAAAGAAACCAAGGTGGCTTAAGAACAGCTGGAATGATGCATTATATCTATGGCGGATGCCCTTAACAGCCACGATTCCTTTCCTTGATATCATGGAAAAGTAAGTGCCCACTTACAATGGCTGCTTTACTAAAAAAGTTCTTGTGACAAGCCACAAGTAGTGCTTCCTATTGTTTAAGCCTAGGGAAATGATGTTATTTCTGCAAGAGAAACATGTGCTTCAGATAGTCAACACACAAAATGGATTTATTTCAAGACAGAAACATTATTATTATAGTGTTTGTTTGGCTATTTATTACGAGAGCTTCATGCTTTGGATATTGAGCCTGATAAATAGGCTTTAGTGGTCTGGCTTAAAATTGAACTAAACATATGCTCTATGCTCTATTATGTGTCTAGGAAAATTAAGTCACAGTCGAGGGCACGCTACTTAGAAATCTCTGGGAGGATAACAATGTGGTGGCAAACCAAGTTAAGTCTCCGCGTGAGATGTCAGCATCCCATATGGGCACCAGTTTGAGACTCCACTTCCGATCCAGCTCCCTACTAAAGCACCTGGAAAAGCAGCAGATGTCCCAAATGCCTTGGCGCCTGCACCCAGGTGGCAGACCCAAGAAGTTCCAGGCACCTGGCTTGGCCTGCCCCTGAGGTTGCAGCCACTTATGGAGTGAACCAGTGGATGGGAGATCTTTCTTTCTTTCTCTCTCTTCCTCTCTCTTTCTCTCTTTTCCTTTCTCTCTCTTTCTCTTTCTCTTTCTTTTCTTTCTCTCTCTCTCTCTCTCTCTCTCGCTCTGCTCTTCTCTGTAACTCTGCTTACAAATACATTTGTTTAAAAGAAAAATCTTAAAAGAAAGAAATCTTTGAATCAAGATTCTTTACTAAGTGGCCTAATTAAAAGGAAACAGGGCAAAATGCTTGGTTAATTACATAAAAAAGGAGAAAGGGAGGGACGCGCTTAAAAGGCAAATGGCCAATGCCTTTACAACAGTTAAAGCTAGTTTTAATAGACAATATCTTTCAAGCCCTCCGCAAGACATTAATCATAGTGCCAGTGTATCTCACAGCGATATTTAAAAGCTATAAACGGGAACTGAAGAGTTAAATTTTCTTCTTAAGCTGAGGTGGCTAACAGCCTCCCATTACAAAGGTCCAGATATCTATAATTCGGGGTACCGGTACCCTGGTACAACTATGCGTGAGGAATAAGAACGACACGCCAGGGTGGGACAAAGCTTTCTGGTCATTTATAGAACGTGGGTCCGCGAAAGGTGGGAGCTGGGAGCAGAGAGACTAAGGCTGGGGGTCACTCCCTGTGTCTCACACCCCCACCCACCCCAACCCACGCGACACACACGCACATCCCGAGCACGCCCACCCCAAGAACGGTGGAACCTCACCAGCAAATCGCCACGCGCCTCCAGTCGCAGGTGTGGCTTCTGCCGCTTGAAAAGGCGCTTCAGAAAGCCGCGGGGAGCCTTCCGCTTTACTTTCGTCTTCTGGGAGACTCTGTTCGAGAGTGCCATGCTCTCCTTCAGGGACCTGCAGCCTTGGGCTTCCAGGGCCTCCACGCACCGAACGGCGTCGAGGCTAAGAAAAACAACCTCGCCCCGCCCAAGGTTCTTCCGGTCCCAAGATCCAGGTCCAAACGTTTGAATACGCCGCCAACGGAGCGCGCTGGGCGCTCGGTAGTGACGTAACCCTACGCAAGCCCCGCCCCCAGAAGCGCCGGACGTCTGAGTGGAAAGTCCCCACGGAGGGCGGGCTCTGGCGCTCCGTGACGTCATAATAAAGGCTGAGGCTTCCTTTAACCTGGGCGCTATTAGAAAGGCGGTGCTCTAGGTTGTGTGCTGAGGCAACGGCTATTGCTCGCCAGGATCTCGCTCAATATTGAGCTTAAGACCAGTGAACTAAAAAGTAGGTGAATATAAAAAAGTTTGTGATGTTTTCCCAGGATTCTTTAAGAATGAGTTCCTTCCAAGCAAGGCATGATTTTCTGATGTTAATAGCTAACAATTCACGCTTTCATCACATAATTTCATTTGTCCTAACCTTAGTCTTCTCATGGCTGCATCTTCTCACAAATGCTGGTCCTTTTCAACTTACCCATGTAGTAACGTTAAAGTGTAATTAAAATGCTAATGCTAACTAATTTTAGCCTTTCCAAGGTAAAGCAGTTTACTTTTCCTGCTTTTGTGCTACCATAAAGTAGTTCTCAAACTTAACTACTCATATGAATCATGGAGTGGAGGTTGGGAACTGAAACACTAACGGAGTCCACCCAAGAGCTTCTGACTCACCACACATGAGTGGGACTCAATAATTTTGCAGTTTTCAACAAATACTTGGTTTATGCTGATATTGCTGGTCTGAGGATCACCCTTTATTTTAATCACAATCATCTCTAATGCATCGCTTTGTAATTATGGCATCTCTGTAGCCACATAAAAGATTCACTACTTGGCCTCCCTTTTCCAAGACCTCTTTGACAATGCTCTTGTTTTATACCCCATGAGCCACGCATGCCTGTTGTTATGCACTAGGCCTTGTGCTTGTCCAGTATGTTACTCTTCATATCCCAACACAATTGTCTCTTCAACACCATCGCCTACCTTTTGAACTCCCTCCAGTATCCCAACTTCAATAATTCCTAGATGCAACTGGGATCACTGTCCTCTCATAGTCCCTTCTACCCGCCATAGCACTCTATGCCCTATCTTTGCATATGTAGTCCAATGGACATCATTATAATGTTCCCTCTGATTTCTCCTCAACCATCTAGCCATTCCTTTTACTTCATGCTTATTTGACAAAATTCACATCGTGCTTTAGCTAAAATCTCAACCCCTATATGTTTTCATCTGTGTGTGCATTAATATTAGCAAAGAAAATCACACATACAAATCTGTGTCTGGTCCCAAGGTTAATACACAGAAATCACAGAAATAAGTTCTAAGCACAGCTGCAAGCCTTTAACACTTCCTAAGGCTATTCATTCATTTAGTCTCTTAAATAACGGTCATACCTTTTCTTTCATCCTCAAACCTCCCCACACATCTTATCACACCTTTACTCTCAACTGATGACATTGCTTCACTAACAAAATTGAAGCAACCCACAGATTTTGTGCATGTCCTCATTACTACATCTACCCACCAATCTCCAGTTACTCCATTGATGAGATGCCAGCCACTCCACTATCACTGATCCCTTTATTAAGGACAGTTCTCTAGAAATTCCCTCCTCTCTTCTGCTTCATGAATTTTCCTTTTATTCACCAACAAACACATGCTTTAATATATCCAAACTTCTGAAAACTCACTTGATCTACCTGCAGCTGTTGGCCTTTTACAGAAAAGCTAGAAATAGCTGAATTCTATTTCTGTAATGAATTTTCACTCATTCTGTCTCAAAGCTAGTGCAATTGGAATTTTGTACCTATCTCTCCATCGAAATTGATTTGGTAAACATGACAAATAACACTTTTAAATCCAGTGTTCAATTCTCAAACTTCATCTTATTTGAGCAACTGGATTATCTGCTGGGTTTTATGATGTTTTGATCCAAGAAAACATTTTCTTTCACTGCATATGATTCCCTTTTGTTTTCTTCCAATCTGATTGTCCCTTAATTTCTGCTTATAGTTTCTCTTTGTCACTTTGATCTCTAAATCATGGAATACTCCATGAATCAGTATCAATATTTCTTCTCTATCTACATCTATTTTCCATGGGATCTCATTCAATATTATGGTTTTACATGCCAAATTTCCATCTCCAGCTGATTTGGCCCCTATATTCTAGACATGCCAATTCTCCATGGGAAGAGAATTCTAATCATATTAAGTGTAACATGTCTAAAACTAGCTCTGGGTCTACCCCCAACCTTGTTGGTGTTACGGTGATGGCACTTTCATCCTGCCAATTACTGAAAGAGAAATCTTAGAATAAGCCTTGGCTCTCCTCTCACTTCACATTCAATCTTTCAGCAAATTCTGTTAGCTCTACTCAGAGTGTCTGATCACATTTCACCACTTCCACTGCTACCACTCTTGGCTGAGCCCCCATAATTTCTCACTTGGATCATTGCAACATACCCCTGCAGTCCCTCAGTCTGTTTCTAAGTATTCTTAACAGAGGAGCCAGATTTAACTCAGATTATGTCATTCTTCTCCTCAAATCCCTCAGTGGCTTCCCATCTCTCTTAACATTTAAATGACCTATGAGATCTTACCTGACTCCCCTCTAAGTGCACTCCACAGATCATCAATGTAATGGAGGTGAAGCCATTGGGAGATGAGTAGGTTTTGAAAGTACAGTCACTAGGAATGAAGTTAACTTATTAAGAGGCCCCAGAATGCTGCCATCCCCCTATTCCACTATGTGAGGACACAGTTAACAGATACCATTTATGAACAAGAAAGAGAACACTCACCAGAACCCAACCATTCAGGCACCATGATATTGGGCTTTCCAGTCTCCATGATTTTTAAAAAATAAATGTCTGTTGCTTCTAAGCCATCCAGTAGTTGGTATTTTGTTATAGCAGCCCAGACTAAGACAATAGCTCTCAGACACACACACCTGAGTTACATCAAACACAACAACTCACTCCTCCTCAGTTGTTTGCACTTACTCTTCCCCCCACCAAGAATATTTTCTCCATTGATCTGAAAACAGATATACCATAGGACCCAGCAATCCAACTCCTGGGAATGCACCCAAACAAAAAGAAATCCTCAGATGAGAGAGTTATCTTTACCCCCATGTTTGTTGCAGCTGAATTCAAAATAGCCAAGATATGGAACCAAACCAGATATCCATCAACTGATGATTGGACAAAGAAATCATGGTATATATACATTACGGAATATTGTTCAGCCATTAAAAAAAATGAAATCTCGCCTTTTGGAACAAAATGAGTGCAACTAGAAACTATTGTACTTAGTGAAATAAGCCAGTTCCCAAGACAGAAATACCATATTTTCCCTGATTGGCAGGAGCCAATAGAGTACCAAAAATGTAATTTATAGGATTAAATTCACATTTGGTGATTTGATGATTGTTTACAGCCCTTGTCTCTACTGTTGAGGAACAATGTTTTTTTTTTTATTCTTCTTGCTTTTTTTGAACTTTTTGCTTAGTGTAGGGGTAATCTTAGGTGTTTAAAGTAAACTGAAAGCAGATCATTGTAAAAATTAAGAGAGAGAATAAGAGAGGAAGGAGGAGGAAGGGTGGGAGTGTGGGCAGGAGGGAAGATATGGTAGAAAGTATATTATGTTCTTACCTCTGCATATATGAAATATTGTTTTGTATACCTTACATAATTTTTTTAAAAAGATTCTTAATCACCTCTGCAAGGTCCATTTTGCCACATAAGACAGTATTTTCAGGTTTTGAGGATTAAGATATTGAAATTGGGGGGAAGGGTGGACAGCTATAAATCTTCTTACAACATGTAGAGCAGCACTGTTAACTTGGAATTTCTTCAATGATGGATATTTTCTATGTCTGCTCTTAACAACATAGTAGCAGCATGTGACTACTGGGCATCTGAAATATGCAGCTTACTTTAACTCATAATATTAATTTTATTTATATAGTATTAATTCACATATACATCTAGTTTAGCTAGTGGCTACAATATTGGATAGTGCAGTTGTGTAATGTAACAGGCTGTTCTAACAAGTAATTCCTTCAAAAATTTTGAGGTAGAAGGCAGGAATCAGAATTCAATATGGACTTTCATTTATCTAAAGTTAAAATGAACTTATGGATTTAAAGTTTTTATTTACTTAAACAAATATCTAAATAGGATATGAAACTAATAATTTTTATTCATCGCTGTAATGCAGTTTGTCCCCTGCTGCCTCCCAGAGTTGAGGGACCAGGAAGCAGGAGGCAGGAGCCTGAGCTGAGTATTGAACCCGGCATTCCTTTGTGTGACTCAAGCATCTTAACTAGTGCCTTAACTGCTAGGCCAAATGCTTTACTCACAGCTATCTTACTTGATCTTAATAAAATTATATAAATAGGACTGGAATGAATGTTACTATTTCTATTTTACACAAAATAAAATGACCAGATAGATAATTAAACAGGACTAAGAAAAAAGGTGATATAAAAACTTAAAGGTAGGTTTCCAAAATGACAGAATAGCAACAGAATGGTCTTATTTAACTGGGGCAAAACTAATATTTAAAAAAGGGGAGAAAGTACACTCTCAAGATAAAGCTGTGAAAGAACCACAGTAGGAGACCCTGCAAAAGCAGTAAAAACGGTCTGGACCCATGCTGGAAGAACAAATACACAGCAAAAGACCCACTAGTTTGGATCTGGGGAGGAAGATGCCTGCCCTGGCAAACCAGGTGAGAGGGGCTACTCAGACCCATGGTGCTGCTGATACAGCAGGAGGGAAGCTTGGTGAACTGCTTTTAGAGTTCCACATGGAACCCCAAGACAGCAGGTGACCGATCACCCAGAGGTGGGGAAAAATGTAGCATGTCTCTCCCTCCACCACCCCACTACAGCAGACACCTGTGGGGTAGGGGGGATGACTGACGCCATATTTGGACACAGGCAGGTAGCAGCTGCCCAGCTCCTGTGCATACAATAACAGAAAACTTCCCTAATTTAGAGAAAGGGACATCCAAGTACAGGAAGCACATAAAACTAATAGACACAATCA